CGTGGGTGGTAACCATTTTTTTTTCCTCCTATAAGATATGTTGCAGTGAGCCCTGCCTGGTGTGGCTCAGTGGATTGAATGCAGGCCTGCAAACCAAAGGGTCGCCAATTCAGTTCCCAGTCAGGGCACATGCCTAGGTTGTGGGCCAGGTCCCCAGTAGGGGGTGTGTGAGAGGCAACCACACATTGATACCTGTCTCCCTCTTTCTCCTCCCTTCTCTAAAAATAAATAAATACAAATCTTTAAAAAAAGTTGCAGTGAACATACTGATATAAAAATTTTGCATGTTTGTTTGGATATGGATACCCAAGTTAATTGGATAAGTTAATTTTTACCAGTCTTGTGATAGATGAGAGAGATATTTTGATTTGTACTTCTTCTGTTTTATATTTGCTTATTGGCTGTGAATTTTCCTGTGAACATGATCTTTGCTTATTTTTCTATTAGGTTGCCATTTTCATATTAATTTTGAGAGTTCTCTATTAATTAAGCCCCTGTTTGAGTTCTTGTGTTACAAGGGTTTCCCTTAGTTCTCTGTCTTTTTATTTTACAGTATATTGTTGGTTTATAGAAACATTATTTTTAGCTGCCAAAATTATTGATCTTCCTCTTTATTATTTTTTGGATACGTGTTTTTCTACATGTATCCCATTGTCTTGTTACAGTTATACATTTGTGACTTTTTTAAGCTAATTTTTTCTGTTTGTTAAAAGTCTTAATACATGAATACATATTCACTATAAGAAATGTTTAAAAATTGACAAAATTAAAGTCTGTTCCTAAAATTATATTCTCTTTCCCACTTACTAAGTTCCAGTCCTTTATGTGTATAGCATACTTACATTAAAAAAATAATAGACCATTATCCTGCCATTTATTAATCTGTGGTTTAAAATCATATCTTTATTCTTGTTTTAAAATTTTTATTTATTGATTTTAGAGAGAGGACAGGGAGAGAGAGGAAAAAAATATACCCAGTCAATTTATTGTTCTTATTTATGCATTCATTGGTTGCTCTTTATATGTGCCCTAAGTGGGGATCGAAGCTGCAGCCTTGGCATATTGGGACAATGCTCTGACCAACTGAACTACCTGTCCAGGGCTTTATCATATTCTAAATTCCAGGTAAATCATGGGTCAGTTTGTGGACATTATTCTAATTCATTGCTATAGTTGACTGTATGTGTGACTTCATTTTTAAAAGGTTAAATCACTCATGGGTCTAGAATTTCTTTTGGTGTAAAGAATGAGGGTAGGGAGCCTGCTGTTCCCAACACCATTTATGGAATAATTTGTCTTCCCCCCAATGATTTTATATGCTGTCATCAAACCAATGTATTTCTGTAATGGTATTATCTCTGACCTACTGAAAGAGCATTTGACTGAGCTCCTTATATCAACTCTAGCTTCTCTTATCAGTTTTTTATGGTGCATCTAGGTCACAGGTTGCAAACACAAGGCCTGTGGGCTGAATCCAGCCCTCCACCTTGTTTTATCCGGCCCAGCACCTTCTTTCTACCTGGTGGCAGCGCTGAGCTTTTTGACCCTAGTTAAGGAGTAGTTACACTTACACAGTCCTAAAATTACATTCAGCCCTTTAACTGCAAGGCTGATGTGGCCCCTGGTGAAAATGAGTTTAACACCCCTGAGCTAGGTGGTCTTTTTAAAACACACCAGCATGAAACCCTTTATGGGATTCACACTGCTTTTATGGGTGAAGACCTAATCTCGAATGTGGCCTAGAAGACCCTGTGTGGCTGGCCCCTTGACCCGTCTGGTCTCGTATATCAGACCACTCTTCTTGCTGTTTGGGTTCCAGCACTTTGTGGCTTTCTTTCAGTTCCTTTGTCATGCCACACTCTTACTCACTACACTGCTTTTCCCTTTATGCCTACAATGCCCTGCAGACCCCAATCCCCACCCCTGCTACTCCACCTTGCCCTGTTGTATTCCAGTGCATCCTTCCATCTTCAACTGTGAGTTACTGTGTTTTTTGGACTATAAGATGTACTCCTTCCAAATTTGGGAGGGAAATGGGGGGTGCGTCTTATAGTCTGAATGTAGCTTACCTGGCTTGCTTGGGGGGGGCTGTTGGTGGAGCGGGGTCACAGGCTATTAAATATTTTATCACATTTTTTTGCTTCAAAAAATTTTTTTTCCTATTTTCTTCTTCTAAAACCTAAGTGCGTCTTATGGTCCGGTGCATCTTACAGTCCTAAAAATATGGTAGCTTTGAGTAAATTCTTCCCTGATTCCCTAAGTAAGTTTAGAACCTGTATATGCTTTCTAGGCACCATTTATCTTAAAAACAAACAGCTTTACTGAGATATTAATCATATAATGCACCATTTAAAGTGTACAATGCAATGATTTTTAGTATATTCAGAGAGTTGTCTGACCATCACCACAATCAATTTTAGAACATTTTCTTCACCCCAAAAGAATGCCTGTATCAATTAGCAGTCACTCCCCTCCCCATTTCTCCCCAAGGCCCCCAGTCCTGGACAACGAGAGTGATTTTTTAATTGTGGCAAACTATATAACAAGTTTTGCTATTTTAAACCATTTTTAAAACCAATTTGGTGGCATTAATTACATTTACAGTGGTGTACAACTGTCACCATTGTCTATGTCTAAAACTTTTTTTGATCACACCAAACAGGAAGTCTGTACTTACTAAGCAGTAACTCCCCACTTCCTTCTTCCCCAACCCCTGGCAACCACCATTCTATTTTCTGTCTATATGAATTTGCCTACTGTAGATATTTCTTTTTTAAAAAATGGATTGATTTTAGAGAGAGTAAGGAAGGAGGAGAGAGAGAGCCATTGATTTGTTGTTCTACTTATTTATGCATTCATTGGGTGAGATTATGTGTGTGCCTTGACCAGGAATCAAACCCTCAACCTTGGCATATGGGGAAGTCGCTTTAATCAGCTGAGCTACCGGGCCAGGACCTGCAAATATTTCATATAAGTGGAATCGGACAATATTTATTCTTTTGTGTCTGACTTATTTTACTTAGCATAATGTTTTCAAGGTTCATCCATGTATTGGAACTTCATTCCTTTTTATGGCTGAATAATATGCCATTGTATGTATATACTATATTTTGTTTATCCATTCACCTGTTGATGGATGTGTGGGTTGTTTCCACCTTTTGGCTGTTATGAGCATTTAGCATACAAGTATCTGTTTGAGTCCCTGTTTTTAAATCTTTAGGCTATATACCTATAAGTGGGATTGCTGGGTTATTGATAATTATATGTTTAACTTTTTGAATAACCATCAAGCTTTCCAGAGAGGCTACACCATTTTAACATTCCCATCAGCAATATAGAAGGATTCTAGTTTCTCCACATCACTTGTTTCCATTTTTTAAATTATTCTAATAGGTGTGAAGTGGTACTTCATTGTGGTTTTGATTTCTATTTCTCTAATGATGAACAACATTGAGCACTTTCTTTGTCTGCTTATTGGCCATTTGTGTATCTTTGGAGAAATGTCTATTCAAGTCTTTTGCGCATTTCAAATTTGGGTTGTTAATTGTGTTGTTATTGGGTTGTTTTTGTTTTTGTTATTGAATTAGAGGGGTTCTTTTTATATTCTGGATGTTAAATTTTTTATCAGCTGTATGACTGCAAATATTTTCTCTCATGCTGTGGGTTGTCTTTGCAGCTTTTTGGTTCATTTACATTTTATAGGATTCACAAGTTTGTATTTATAATTTTAAAAATATTTAGATTAGTATCTGTCTTCACTGTTAGAATGAGAACACTGTTAAGGTAAGGACTATTATAGTGTTTGCTCACTTTGATATTTTTGATGATGTGAAGCACAGGTGCTAAATTTTTTTTTTAAAGATTTTATTTATTTAGTTTTAGAGAGAGAGGAAGGGAGGAAGAGAGTGAGAGAAACGTCAGTGTGTGGTTGCCTCTTGTGTGCCCCCTACTGGGGCATGTGCCCTGATTAGGAATCTAACCAGCAACCCTTTGGTTCACAGGCCTGCAGTCAACCCACTGAGGCACACCAGCTAGGACAGTTTTTTAAAATGAATGAATGAATGAACTGAATTCCTTTAATTTATGAATCATTCCATTGCGCTGTCCTGTTCTGTCTTATATATCATTAGTACTCCATCTTGGCCTCTCACTTCTTACTCATATATTTTAAAATCTTCCCAGCTGTTTTCTGACCATTGTCATGTTAATTAATGTTAATTCACCCCCCCCCCCAAAACAACAACAACAACTGGATATTAATTTAGGTAATTTATTTTTTTCTTTCAGAGGGCTTTCTCGGTTGGATAAAGGCTGTGCAGTTGTCTTAGTCAGCTTGGGCTGCTATAGCAAAATACGACAGACTGGGTGACTTAAACATTTATTTCTCACAGTCCCGGCGTCTGGGAGGTCCATGACCAAGGTGCCAGCAGATTTACTGTGTGGTGAAGACCCTCTCTGGTTTGCAGACTGATGCCTTCTTGCTGTATCTTCACATAGCAGAGAAGAGAGGTCATTTCTCTCACATCTCTTCTTTAAAGGCACTAATCATGAGGGCTCCACTCTCATGACTTGATTACCTCCGAAAAGCCTTAGCTCCAGGTACTGTCACATTGGGGATTAAGGCTTCAGTATGTGAATTTGGGGGGCGGGGGAGGGGACAGTGAATCCATAACAGTACATGGAGCTAAGGAAATTAAAGAATTAAGTAATTAAGCAGAGTTGGTCTCTAGCGTCATCAGCTTCACAGGTACGGGCCGCAGTGCATCTGAAGATCTTGGCATTTACGGGAATGCAGTCTGATGGCAGAAGGGGTAGACAGTCATTTGTATAGATTCAGAACACGTAAAAGATTAGTAACAAATTCATCTCTATAGGTCATTAACAAATAAGAACTAAATGGAAAGAACTATTATGAATCAATTGTGCAATGTATGAAATTTTCATACCCCAAGAGAAACTCTGAATGATAGTCTTACAATAAATTTTTTCCTTCCTCCTAGATTTAAACAGTGAAGTTAAATCAAGCTGGGTAATCATGGCAGAAGGTGGATTCGATCCCTGTGAATGTGTTTGCTCTCATGAGCATGCGATGAGGAGGCTGATCAATCTGGTGAGATGAACAGGACAGTCCTATTCAGAACTGCACTGCACTGCTTCTGTGCTGCTCTTGTTTTTTTTTTTAATTGTTAGTTATTGGAAGATTTTCATCAGATGATCACTAAAATTATTTCGTAATTGAAATTCCACAGTGGTTTAAGTCAAAAAAGTTAAGAATGCTTACCAGCAATTACTTTGTTAGAGATAAAAACAAATTTCTATTTTTATTTGTTAGATTCATGCTGGTTAAATTCCCCATCATGGGTGGGAACACATTTGTGTACAGCCTTTTCTGTTCTGTAGTAATACATGTAGTCCTTAGGTATATGAAGTCTGTTTCCTGTTACGGTATGGTTCATATTCTCCTCCTCCAAAAGGCATGACAATAAAAATCTCTATACAAAGCATTTGAAAATTCAGTTATTTAATGGAGGTAGATTTCTGAACAGCAAACTTAGGATAGTAGCAAGATTTGAATTACACCATTTGTAAGATTTTCCTAATCTTTGAGCTTAAATATGGGGCTGTCTGTGCATTATACTTTGTACTTTTTATGTACAAAAGGAGAAATTTGACTATTATGAATAATAAAGTACAATACTATTATCTCATACATTATAGCAACATTTTGTTGTTTTAGAATATTTTTGTATGGGTTATATTATTATTGGCCAGTTAATAAAGGCAAGTACAAACATTTGTTCAAATACTTGAATAGTTAGTAATTAATAAAAAAGCTTTCTGCTTACTTGGTGTCTGTATGTAGTGATCAGAAGTGTATTTCTTGTACATGATATTTACTTTAGAATCAGCATATACTAGGACTTAATGATCCTTAAGAATGCCTTAGAGGGAAAGCAATAATAAACTGAGAATTTATAAATTAAATCAGACTCTTGTGGGTACAGAAACATAATGGGAATGTCATATCTCTGATAACTTGATGTAAAAATAGGTGTGAGGAAAGAATATTTAAAAAATATTTTCTCCTCATTCATGAAGTTAAAGAGTTGATATTTTTTATATCTAAATTCAGTCAAACATACAGCAAATTTTTTTTCAAATTACTGTGATATTAGGAACAAAAAATAGGTATAATTTAAGTGTGGTAAATTTCGCAGATCAGCCTTTAGTAAGGGTTATGATTTACTGTGCATTTCAATTCTCTTTCCTTTAGTAGATTGTCAAGAAAGCCATGTGTTAATGGGTGCGGTAATTCATGCTTGATGGGATAATGTTTATAGCAGTCCTGATTTGAAGTACTTTGTTGTTATGTGGAAACAGATTAAGAACCCTTTAAGAGTCCACAGTTTTTTAATCTATGCCAGATATTTTCACCATAAATTACTGATGGGTAATCTACTCCCGTATAAATATGTTTGTAACAGTATTGAAGTTTCCAGAAGGGAAGAGAAACTCATTTGATTTATTAAGGAAACTTGCCTATTAGGTTTAATATTTGTTTGAATTAAACTGTGCTTTATAGTTTTTTTATTATTTACTTTTGAATTACAGTTGACATACAATATTATATTAATTTCAGTTGTACACACCAGTGATTAGACATTATAACTAAGTGATCATCCTGAGAAATCTCGACCCATCTGATACCATACAGAGTTGTTAGAATATTAATGACTATATTCCCTATGCTGTACTTTACACCTCCATGACTGTTCTACAACAACTAATATGAATTTCCTAATCCCCTCACCTTTTTCACCCATCCCCCCGACCCCACTCCCATCTGGCCCCCATCAAAATGTTCTCTGTATCTATGAGTCTCTCTCAGTTCTGCTTGTTTTTTGTTTTTAGATTCAATTGTTGACATATATTACCATTTTATTTTACAGTTTTTTAACTTTTTTTTCTTATTGAAGAAGACCCTTTAATATGTCATGTGATATTGATTTGGTAGTAATGAACTCCTTTAGCCTTTTTCTTTTCTGGGAAGCTCTTTATATGTCCTTACATTCTTTTTTATTTTTTTAAGTATATTTTATTGATTATGCTATTACAGTTGTCCCATTTATTTTCCTCCCTTTATTCCCCTCTGTCCTGCACCGCCCTCCCACCAGCATTCCCCCTCTTAGTTTATGTCCACGGGTCTTACATATTAGTTCTTTGGCTTCTCCACTTTCTATACTATTCTTAACCTCCTTTTGTGTATTTTGTACCTACCATTTATGCTTCTTATTCCCTGTATCTTTGCCCTTAGTCTCCCCCTCCCCACCGATAACCCTCCATGTGATCTCCATTTTTGTTCTTGTTCTAGTTGTTTGCTTAGATCACAGGTGGCAAACACAAGGTTCACGGGCTTAATCTGACCCTCCACCTTGTTTTATCTGGCCTGGCACCTTGTTTCCACCCGGTGGCAGCGCCAAGCTCTCACTTAACTGTTAAGGGTAGTTACATTTATACAGTCCTAAAATTACATTTGACCTTAGATTGTTTCTGTTTTTATTTTTCTCAGGTTCAGTTGTTGATAGTTGTGGGTTTGTTGTCATTTTACTGTTCATAGTTTTGATCTTCTTCTTTCTTAGATAAATCCCTTTAACATTTCATAAAATAAGGGTTTGGTGATGATGAACTTCTTTAACTTGACCTTATCTGGGAAGCAGTTTATCTGCCCTCCCATTCTAAAGGATGGCTTTGCTGGATAGAGCAATCTTGGATGTAGGTCCTTGCCTTTCATGACTTTGTAAACTTCTTTCCAAGCCCTTGTTGCCTGTAAGGTTTTTTTTTTTTTGAGCAATCAGCTGATAGTCTTATGGGAACTTCTTTGTAAGTAACTGTCTCTGTTTCTCTTGGTGCTTTTAAAGATTCTTTCCTTGTCTTTCATCTTGGGTAATGTAATTATGATGTGCCTTGGTGTGTGCTTCCTTGGATCCAACTTCTTTGGGACTCTCTGGGCTTGCTGGACTTCCTGAAAGTCTATTCCCTTTGCCAGATTGGGGAAGTTCTCCTTCATTATTTTTTCAAATTTGTTTTCAATTTCTTTCTGTTCCTCTTCTCCTGGCACCACTGACTGAGATGTTGGAACATTTAAAGTTGGCCTGGAGGTTCCTAAGCCTCTCCTCATTTTTTTGAATTCTTGTTTCTTCATTCTGTTCTGGTTGAATGTTTATTTATTCTTTCTGCTCCACATTGTTGATTTGAGTCCCAGTTTCCTTCCCATCACTGTTGGTTGCCTGTACATTTTCCTTTATTTCACTTTGCATGGCCTCACTTTTTCCTCTATTTTGTGACCATACTCAACCATTTCTCTGAGCACCCTGATTACCAGTGTTTTGAACTCTGCATCTGATAGCTTGGCTATCTTTGTTGCTTAGTTATGTTTTTGGAGTTTTGATCTGTTCTTTCATTGGAGCTATATTTCTTTGTCTCAGTGCCCCTATTATGTTCCATGGGGCAGAGCCTTAGGTATTTGCCAGGATGGGGCAACCCATGTTACTGTGTTGTGGTGCTCTGTGTGGGGAAGGGGTCCGAGAGGGAACAAGGCTGGTTGCTTGGCTCTTGCCCTGCTCAGCCACTTCCCCTGCTACCCACAAGCAAATTGGGCCCTTTTGGTGATGATTCCGAGGTAGGTGGGTTTGTGTGTATTGTGTAACCCTGTGGATCTCTCCAGTGAACTCTCCTGTGAAGTTGGAAGTTTCTCTTATCGCCGCAACAACCACAGGTTTTACAGCTAGAGGTTTTGAGGCTTTCTTTTCCCATGCTGGAATCCTGGATTGCATGGCCTGTCTTGTTCCCCAGTTGTTCCTCCTGGTTTATCTGCATGCAAATGTGGGACCACCCAATCCACCAGACGCCACCTTGCCCACCCTGGTCCACTGCCTTACCCTGTATTCTCTCCACCCCAGCTGCCCGTCTCTACCCCTCCTACCGGTCTGAATGAATGTTTTTTCTTTAACTCCTTGGTTGTCAGACCTCCATACAGTTTGATTTTCTTACAGTTGTGGTTATTTTTTGTTTTTAAATGTGTTGCTGTCCTTCTTTTGTTTGTGTGAGGAGGCAAAGTGTGTCTACCTATGTGTCTGTCTTGGCTGGAAGTCTGTCCTTCCATTCTAAATGATATCTTTGCTGGGTAGAGCAATCTTGGCTGTAGATTCCTGCTTTTCTTCACTTTGAATATTTCTCTCCACTCCCTACTGCCTTGCAAAGTTTCTGTTGAGAAATCAGCTGATTGTCTTATGAGAGCTCCCTTGTAGGTAACTTAACTGCTTTTCTCTTGCTGCTTTTAAGATTCTCTCTTTGTCTTTAACCTACTTCATTTTAATTATGATGTATTTTGGTGTGGGCCTCTTTGGGTATATCTCATTTGGGACTCTGTGCTTTCTGGATTTGTGTGTCTATTCCATTCACTAGGTTGGGGAAGTTTTCTGTCATTTTTTCACATAGGTTTTCAATTTCTTGCTCTCTCTTTTCTCCTTCTAGTGCACCCATGATGTGAATGTTGGTACACTTGAAGTTGTCCCAGAGGCTTCTTACATTATCTCCATTTTTTTGGATTCTTTGTTTGTGTGTGTGTTCCAGATCACTAATTTGATTCTCAAATCAAAATCTACAGTTGATTCCCTGTAATGTATTTTTTATTTCAGTTAGCGTGTCCTTCATTTGTTTTTTTAAAAAAATATTTTATTTATTTATTTTTTAGAGAGGGGGGAGGGAGGAAGAAAGGGAGAAAAACATCAATGTGTTGTTGCCTCCCACGTGCCCCCTACTGGGGACCTGGCCCACAACCCAGATGTGCCCTGACTGGGAATTGAACCAACAACCCCTTAGTTCATATGGCAGCACTCAATCCCCTGAGCCACACCAGCCAGGGCTGTATCTTTCATTTCTGACTGGTTCTTTTTTTATGATTTCTATGTCCTTTTTCATGCTGTTGAAGTTCTAAGTTCCTTGAGCATCCTTTTACCATTGTTTTGAACTCGGTATCTGGTAGTTTACCTGCCTTCATTTCATTTATTTCTTTTTCTGGAGTTTTATTCTGTTCTTTCATTTGGGATC